TATTATTATTATTATTATTATTGCTGTTGTTGGTGTTATAATTATCATTGTTGTTATTATTATTGTAGGCCTATATATGTTGGTTTCAATATGAGTTACGGTGCGGATGACCCTAGTTCGAATCTTTATTTGGGGTGTTCCTGGGGTTTTAGGCTGTGTGTGGGAAAGTTTCAGGGTTCCCAGGTTACGTAGTTGATCAGTGCAGTCAGGGGAGATGGATGTTAGATTCTGAGGTCATGTCTTTTGGGTAACCTTTCAGAGTTGAAATGGGCGTCGAACGTAGACCACACAGACCCTAGGTGCACTGAAACAACCACTGAGTTCTTTTACTTTTTTTTTTGTAACTTGGTATATATTTCGCTTCCTTAGAAATACAAAAAGTTATATCTGACATTTTTGGGGCCGTTTTGAGTTACTTAGACGATGAGGTCACAGATACCAAATCATAATGTTCTGTCTACTCTCTCAAAATCCCAAGATTATTTGGAGTCGTTATAATCACGTAACCTGTCGCCGGCATCGGTCGAATATTCAGACGAACAGCATACACACACCCACCCTACCTGCCAATGTGAAAGCTGAATAAGAATAATACGTCTGTTTACATACAGATTAGGCTACCCTAAAATTACAGTTCTATCTGCTCAGTATAGAATTACAAAGTTCTATCGGCTCAGTACCTAGTTTTGAGAAATTTGAAGTAAAAAAAATGTTGAGTTTCTCAACATGTCAAGCTTTTTCGAATGCAATTCACTGAATATCTCGATAATATCTTGATAACGACTCCAAATAATTTATAATCTTCGGATTTTTACAGCGAGCAGATAGAACACTTGGTTTCTGTAGCCTCATAATGGTCTTAGTAACTCAAAACGGCCAAAAAATGTCAGATAGAACTGTGAAATTCTATGGTTGCGAAATATAATACCAGGTTACTAAAAATAAAAGAGCGTTGTTTCTATGAACCATACAATGCCACCAAAGATTCTCTACTACCAATGCCACTGCTTGTATTATCTCTTATCGACAAGCCTAGCCAAAAATTTGCTGCTGCCTCACTACTTTCAGAGTAGCTGCTATCGCAGTCACATACAGAGCCCCCCCCCCCCCCTTCCCTATATTTCAAAGCACACTTTAGAAGCTACGCGCACTACCTCTTCATGATTCATTTATTTATTTGATTCTCTAAAATAATATTATTATTTTTCATTCTTCTCTCATTTCCTTCTGCATATGTTGCTAAAGTGACCAGTTTAGGTTTCCAAATTAGACACATCTTGGGCGCTCATAGTTTTCAAATACAAAAGTGACCCGGAGATAGACATTACCACCTTTTCTCTATGTTGTTCTTATTTTGGTTGTCTGTCCAGTCGTTAGAGTGGCCTCGGTGGCCTAGTGGTAAGGCTACCCGACACGTAATCGTAAGATTGTGGGTTCGGGGGTTGGAGCCTCAGCTCGGTCCGACGTTGTGTCCTTGGGAAAGACATTGTTCGCTAATTTCCCACTTGGCACGGTCCTTTTCGGAGAAGGGTGTTAAACTCAGAGGTCCCGCCTCTTAAATCACCTAATAGTGTTGATAGGAACGTCAAACTTATACCATATCACTTGTTTACTCGTTTACTTGTGTGAAGGACCGACATCACTGCACAAGGGGCATCCCCATAAGCGCTCCGTCCCCTGAAGAAGCACATCTCGAAGTGTGTAGATGCTGACGATTCCAAGCAATCGATCTATCATAAATCTCTCTTCCTTCTTTTTCGTGTTTTTCACTCTCTTGCAACGCCTCTGATCTTCGGCACTTATAATATGACCTTATTGTGTCTTTTTAGTAGAGATTTTACGGCCCTCGCAACTGCGTAAGGTAATAATGAGCGCCAGAAACTTATTGTGTTGCAAGTGCCGTAAAACTCTTACTAAAACTACAGAAAAAAAGCGTTGACCTCTGCCTCCATTCCTTTATCACACAACAGCCGCGAGCCTCTCGCATAAGTCTACAACATGTGCTGCGACAGGTATAGTTGTTGGACGTCACACCAGTTGGTTTTGTTTTGGAGTTGTTGTTTTTTTTCCACGATTTTGCTGTTGCTGTTCTCTGTCCGGACGCACCTTCACTCAGTGTCTACTCGTTGTTGATCGTTCATTCGCTACTTCTAATTTTACACCGTTTTGGATTGTTTTGTCTTGGGGGGGGGGGGGGGGAGGTTCGCACTGCACTGTTTGTGTTACTATGCGTTCTGCCGTCATTTAAAAAAAAAAACATACAGTAATAGGCCTATGTAGTTTTTACAATTTTACCTAAGGGGCCAAATAACTGAATATTATTGTTACCAAAAAAAAATCTCTTTGCAAATGTCCCAAATCAATGGGTTTTTTTTTAAAGAATACAATTTT